CTCAGTTGCTAATAGCAATTACCACCTTGGAGTTTACAAAGACTTATGGGTAGAAAAGCCACACTAAGTAATTTACTACACCGCAAGGTGACTTTAACATTTAGCCAGGGATGAGAACTGCTCTAGATGACAGTGATCAGAAGAAGCAGAAAAAGAATTAAGTGATGCATAAAAAGTTTGCTTTTCCACAAAGCAGATTACTAGCTCAAAAAACAGGAATTATGTCATAGTAATCTGAATAAAGTTGGCAGTGAGGAGAATTAGCTACCACTGTTCAATTTTGCTACCACGTTATACTGAAAGCAACCTTCAAACTGAATTCTGTATATACACTTATTAAGCAAACATACATTAGCAAGCAGGCCAAAACCATTTTCTCAGCCTATTCTGTGAGCTCATTGAAGTGCCAGTTCTAAGTCCTTTCAAGGGCTCCTTTAACAGGCACAGTGAAGTCAGACCATGACATCTGGCCTTGGCAGAGGTCTGTCCCCTCAGTGAATTACACTCAATCAGAAATCCCCCTAAACCAATGACTAGATGCTAAACTGACTGAAATCAAGCTTCAGGAACCACCTTAATGGTAAGTTAATTATATACCTGGTAGATTCTTATAGCCTGTTCACACATGGGTAGGAAGTATGTGTCCCTACACTACTTTAGCCAATCCACACTTTTAGAATACCATAATTTCACCAATAAAAATCTCATTTCTAGCATTTATTATGCTAATTTAAAAGTTACTCATTTTACCAATAAAATCCATTTTGAATTCAGTCTGGTAACACCAAAGCTTTGGTTTTTGTAGAGATATAGATAACTGAAGAACTTGTATACGGGTCCAGAGAGTGGTCCTTTCTGAAATAATCCTAACTGGCCACTCAAAAATGGTGAATTCTTGCCAACATGTTAGCTGACCACTTGAAGGAAAACTTAAACTAAGTGCACATATGTCACTCTGATTAAAATATGAATAACTGCCATTCTAACAATGATATTGTATAGCACAGGACCCATTTGGAAACAGATGCCACCCCAAAGGTTGGCAGTTTGAGTCCACCCAGAGGCACCTTGAAAGGAAAACCTGGCAATTTTCTTCCAAAAAATCAACCATTGATAACTCTATGGAGCATGGCCCTACTCCAACACACATGATGTTTCTATGAGTTGGAATAGATTTGACGGTGAGTGGTTTGTTTTGAGTTCTTTTTATTTGGGGCTTGGAGTCTTTGGGTGGTGCAAATCATTGATGTGTTTGCCACCTACCCTAGGTTCAAGGCCATCCAAAGAATCTTGGAGAAGAAAAGCCTGCTTATCTATTTACTAAAACTCTGCCATTGAAAACCCTGTGGAGCACAGTTCTACCATGACACAGATGGGCTTACAATGAGTCAGAATTGACTTGGGGGCAACTGTTTCTTGTTTTTTTTTTTTTTTAATATTGGACTTTATTTTATTATGTGGGTGAAAATATTTCTTCGTGGCTAATGGAAGACACTATGTGTAAATGAAGTTGTATGGTTTATTTGGAAGGTATATGGCTTGAAAGTGTTTTCAATGCATAGATTTGTGATTGAAATTTTCTGTAATTTAGATTATAGATGACCTCATGCTAGCAAGCCTCTTCCTACTTTGAAGGCCACTGTAACACCAACAAATGTCCTAAAGATAAATGGCAAAGAATAAGTGGCATGTCTAACACCAGTTGTCTGTTTGTACTTGATACTTACATTGCTAACTCTGATCTAAGGAAGTAACAGCTCCTAATTTGTGTTGTCTTTAATTTTCTTTTGTCTTTATTTTTAAAGTCTGCACATGATACACTTTAGTATGCTGCTAACTAGAGAACATTTCCTAAAAAAAAAAAATCCATAAAACCCATATTATTTTACATTTTTGTCTTCTAAAAGCAAATCTGTATTTTTAGTGCTTCCTAGAAGCAGATGTTCAAATTTCCAGATTTTAAAAACCAATATTCATTGAGTAACTACCTTTGATAAAGTGATATGTGAATACAAATGGAGCACAGAATAAAAGGGGAAAAAAAACTTTTCTTAAGCAGATGTCAGAGTGCCTATCAAATGAAGCAAAACAGCCAAGTAGCAGAACGACCAATAGTATTTAGCAAACCATAATGGCATGGTCTCTCTTTAGAAGTTACCATTTCATAACTTACCAAAATATTTTCTGACATAAACTAAAATAGAAACTAGCACTTTGCTCTACCACAGACTATAATAGGACAAAAGTTATATGCAGTAACACAGAAAACTGAAACCTAATCTTTATATTGTTGATAGTAAACGGGCATAAACGTATTCCAAACTCTAACTCGCTGCCATCAAATGGATGCTGACTCATAGCAACCCCCACTGGGTTTCCAAGACTAAATCTCTACAGAAGCAGACCACCCCATCTTTGTTCCTATTAGGCACATTTTTATGGTAAAGATGCAGGCTTTTCAAGGTCAAGCCCATAAGACATCACTTCTTTCATGGATAAAACAGTGCATCATCTAGAGTGAACTAAGCTTCTCAAGGCTTTATTATGACTAAAGAAGTCTGACTTCAGGATGAAAATGACCAGAGTTTGGTGGTGAGCAGACTCCTTGTATTGCTACTTCTATTTCTGGATCTGACACTGACCTATTACAACAGTAAATCACTTCAACCACTCACTGGGTTTTCATACATGCCACAGCTGCTGTTTAAACCCATTCTCTATGTTAAATCCACTCTCAATATCTATTCTCTGTAAAGAGAGCCACATATTGAAGAAACTAATAAAGTTAGGCAAAGTACAAAGGGTTCAAGGTGTATGAGAAACGCCAAGAATCACTATTGACTCAAAGAAGTTCAATTCCTTTTTTTTTTCCCCTCAACTGCACAGCAGCCAACTAAAGTTTTCAATCACTAAGGAGCAAGTTAAACCAGGACTTACTAGATTATATTTCATTGGAGATTTGCACACAAGTTAAAATGTGTGATTCAGTATACAAACATACAGCAGAAAGCCTAAGAAATTATGTTTATTCTTGTGGTGAGCAGGGCTGGAACTAGGGTGAAGTAAGCCTGGAACAAAATTTAAAGAGGGTGCCAAAAATTTAGCAATCAAGGGGGAAAAAAAAAACAAACCCAAACTCACTGCCATGGAGTCATTCAGACTCATAACGACCCCCTTTGGGATTCGGAGGCGGTAAATCTTTATGGAAGTGGACTGCCCAGTCCGACTTTCCCCCAAGTAGCTGGTAGGTTAGAACGGCCAACCTTCTGGTAAGCAGTCAAAAGACTTAGGCACTACGTAACCATTTACTGTCATCTTTTTTAAACTCAATTAAAAAAATAAATAAATCTACAATGAGCAAATTCCCAAAACTTTTAAATAACGATGATCAGTGCAGAGAGATACAGGGACCGGAGGTAAAAGAAATATATATATATATATTTTTTTTTTTTTCTTTAATCAGTAATACCAAGCCTGCCTTTAGATTTTGCTTTTAATCAAACGCCTCTCTCAGCTCGCTCTAGTCCCTGCCCTGGTGGCCAGTACCAATTCCTAGAAAAGCTGACGGGCTCCTACCTGGCTGCCTGGGGGCTGGGAGTGCTGTGGGCCGTACTGTTCCCCAGGAAAGGACTGGAGGTAGGTGGGTGAGAGCTGCTACCTGAGAGCCGGACCCCCAGCCTACCTCGCTTGTTTTGCGTGCCGTGCTTCCTGGCCAAGGTGAGTTCTCTCTGGATTCGGTTTTCCAGGTACTCTTGTTTCTTGCCCAGCATCTCCTCCGTCTCCCGAAGTCGGGCCAGGGCCTCCTGGGGGCTGGGAGTAGCTCGGCTCTTAGAAGAGCCTCCTGCTTTAAAGAACTTGCCCAACTTGCTCATGGCTGTGAAGTTGGGGGTAGAGTGGCTTCCTTGGACGTCTCAGGTACTCCCCGGGGCCGGGGTGAGTGATACGGTCCTCTGGGGGCCCAGGGTTAGAAGACCAAGCTCCTTGGAATCAACAAGTAGTCGGGAGCAGGTGACACACACTCCTGGGCATTTCCTGGCGTCCTGCTCGGCCCCGCCCCTCGGGGAGGACAACTACCGCGACGGGAGGACAAGGGAGTCGGACGTCTGCCGGCCGGCGCCACCCAGCCCCAGGGAGGAGAGGGAGAGCAGTGGAAAGAACTGAAAGGGCAGGGAAGACAGCGGCGAAGTTGCTGCTTTGTTCACTCTGGGAACGCACCCAGGGGTGAACTCTGTACTTCGTGAATGGGTCCTTTGAAAAAGCAAGCCAAGGTGCCAGGAATTTTGTGCGGGCCTGAAAACGTGTAAAATAAGTAAGCTTTATTTTTCCGGATAAGCAAATGCTTTATTCCAAGCTTGTGGTTGTGTGTGTGAATTGATAATATTAATTTATTTTCATCTAAGTGTATAAGTGCCTATGTGCACGTGCATTCGCAGGAGAGTTGTCAGCCACTGCAATGCAAGTGTGTGGGCAAGTGGCTTACTCTAGAAACACCAGGTGGTCTCATAGGCATGTCTAGTCAGGGCAGGCTGATGTGTGCCTGCATGCCAAGTGGCCTAATGGAGTCTCAATCATCTGTTCGTGGATTTGAAGTCATTGAAAGATCATCATCTTTTTTCCTAATGTCAGGTCTTCTGAATGTGTTTGGTGGTGGGAGTAAGTTCAGTAATAAGAAATCTGAAACTTCAAGTGTGATCGTCAATATATCAAAAACCTTTCATGAGGCTGCATCTTGTGTTTGGATCTATGTCAAATGACTTTACAGAGACACTAAGTACCAGAAAGGAGAGAATGCCCTAGAGGAAACAAAGCAAAACTCTTTGTTCGTGCTGTCTAACTCCCATCTATTAGAGCTGCAAGCAAAGAAGTTTGATAGGATGAAAGCACAGCGATTTGTAATGGTTATGTATAATGCCACCTAAATTGAAAATCTGTGTTAAACACTCTAGAAAGAATTGAGACATGGGATTGAGTCTACGTTTTAAAGGACTAGCATGTACTCAGCATATTACAGACATATTTTAGAAATATTACCCAACATTATCAGAACCTATTAGTGATCTTTAAGGAGGTCTAGTGGCATGGTGGTTAAGGCCTTCGGCTGCCAACCTAAAGGTCTGTGGTTCCAACCCTACAGCTATTCCATGGCAGAAAGATAAGGCAGTCTCTTCTGTAAAGATTTTACAACCATGGAAACTTTATGGGGCAGTTCTACTGGGTCACTATGAGTTGAAATCAACTCAGTGGCAGTGGGCATTAGTGATCTTTAGCTAACCAGAGATTGTCTAAACTAAATAAAGCATCAATTACTATGACAAATACACCTTGATACCCAAGATCAAAAATCCAGTATTTGATCTCATCATCTAACACAGAATAAGCATGTTGATCCATTTTATTCAACATTGGTATATTGTAGTTGTTGGAGACTGTCAGTTCCAACTCATAGTGACCCTATGTACGACAGAACAAAACACTGCCCAGTCTTGCACCGTCCTCACAATTATTACCATCTTTGAGCCCATTGTTGCAGCCACTGTGTCAGTTGATCTTGTTGAGGGTCTTACTCTTTCTTGCTGACCCTTGACTTTACCAAGCATGATATCTTTTTCCAAGGACTGGTCCCTCCTGATAACATGTCCAAAGTGCATGAAATGAAGTCTCACCATCCTCACCTCTAAGGAGCACTCTGGCTGTATTTCTTCCAAGATACGTTTGTTTGTACTTTTGGCAGTCTATGGTATATTCAATATTCTTCACCAACACCGTAATTAAAATGCATCAGTTCTTACTTGATCTTATTATTCATTGTCCAGCTTTCAAGTGCATAGGAGGCTATTGAAAATACCATTTGGGTCAGGTACACCTTGGTCGTCAAAGTGACATCTTTGCTTTTTAACACTGTTGAAGAGGTATTTTGCAGCAGATGTGCCCAATTTATTTCTTGACTGCTGCTTCCATGAGCAGTGATTGTGGAGCCAAGTAAAATGAAATCCTTGACAATTTCAACATTGGTGTAGCTAGCATCAAATTTTGCCAAAGAAATGGAACATGTTCATAGGAGACTTACAGATATATCACAGAAACACATACATATTAATGTATCATTTCTCAGTAACCACAGCCGGAAACCTCATTATTCACTGCTTGGCCATCTATAGCACTTATGGTCTGTCACATATTTTGCTTGAATTTTGTATGCATTGTAGACTGTAATAAATATTGTGTTGTTTTATTATCTATATGTTTTATAATTCTATTTGGAACTATTTTCTCTACTAGATTTTAAGTGCCTTCAGAGTCAAGAAGTAGCACTTACACTATTAGTGGTCCCATTGCTGCTCAGTTTAACCACTTTATTGGGTGCATTCTATATTGTTAGTAGGTGCCATTGAGCCCACTTCCACTCACAGTGACCCCTACATACAACAGAACAAAACACTGCCCAGTCCTGCGCCATCCTCACAATCCTCACCATGCTTGAGCCCATCGTGGCAGCCACTGTATCAATCCCCTTTTTCACTGACCCTCTACTTTTCCAAGCAGGATATCTTTCTCCAGGGACTGGTCCCTTTTGACAACATGACTAAAGTAGGCAAGATGAAGTCTGGCCATTCTCACTTTTCAAGAACATTCTCGCTGCACCTCTTTCAAGACAGATTTGTTCGTTCTTCTGGTATTTTCAGTATTCTTCTCCAATACCACAATTCAAAGGCATCACTTCTTCTTTGGTCTTCCTTATTCATTGTCAGCTTTCACATGCATATGAGGCGACTGAAAATATCATGGCTTGAGACAGGCTCACCTTAGTCTTCAAAGTGACAGCTTTGCTCCTTAACACTTGAAAGAGGTCTTTTGCAGCAGATTTGCCCAGTGCAATACCAACATCTGATTTCTTGACTGCTGCCTCCATGGGTGTTGATTGTGGATCCAGGTAATATGAAATCCCTGACAACTTTAATCTTTTCTCCATTTATCATGATGTTGCTTATTGGTCCAGTTATAATATTTATGTTTTATTGATGTTGAGGTGTAATCCATACTGAAGACTATAGTCTTTGATCTTCATCATTAAGTGCTTCAAGTCTTTCTCACTTTTAGCAAACAAGGTCATGTCATCTGCACATTGCAGGTTGTCAATGAGTCTTCCTTCAATCTTGCTGCCACGTTCTTCTTCATATAGTCCAGCTTTTCTGATTATCTGCTCAGCATACAGATTGAATACATATGATGAAAAGGTAGAACTCTGATGCACACTCTCTCTGATTTTAAACCATGCAGTATCCCTTTGTTCTATTCGAATGACAGGTCTATGTACCAGTTCCTCATGAGCACAATTAAGTGTTCTGAAATTCTCATTCTTCACAATGTTATCTATAATCTGTTATGATCCACAGTTGATTGCCTTTGCATAGTTAATAAAACACAGGTAAATGTCTTTCTGGTATTCTTTGCTTTCAGCCAAGATCCATCTGACATCAGCAATGATATCCCTAGTTCCATATCCTCTTCTGAATCCAGCATGAATTTCTGGAAGTTTTCTGTCAATATACTGCTGGAAACATTTTTGGATTATCTTCAGCAAAATTTTACTTACTGTTTGATAATTTTCACATTCTATATATAGTACTGGAAAGGCAAGTACAGTCCACCCTTTAGAAGCTTATCTTCTAATGATAATATTAACAACTGCCATCTTTTGAGCACCTACTATGTAGCAGACATATATATGCATTATCCATAATCCTTATTTTTACCTTGCAAAGTATGTATTGTTGTTTCTATTGGATATATGAAGAACTTGACATTCAACTGGTGACATGGCCACATTTGCACAGGCAGTAAAAGGGGAAGAGATCTTTCAGTTTTAAAGCCCACCATCTTTTCACTATTCACATGACCTTCCTTCTACTGCATGAATTGGTCTAGAGGAGGTAACTAAATAAATTGGGGTGATGAGGTAGTTGTGAGGCATTAACTTTAAAGGATTCTACAAGCATTATTGAATTCATGGAGGGGTGTATACTAAAAGCATTCCTTTGTGGTTCACGGAACACTCGATTTTGTTGGGAGGACATGAACAAATGCAACAGAAGGACTGACAGTTACAGCGAGGAGTTGCTTATCCATTGACCCATCCATCTATCCATCCACCCACTTTTTCATTCAACAGATATTTATCGAGCATCTCTGTTACAGGCACTGTGGTGGGTATTAAGGATATGGTTAAGAACAAGGTAGGTAGTTTTCTGTTCCACCAGAGCTTACAACTTAGAAGGGGAGGACCAGAATTTAAACCAATGATCAGAAATAATGGGCCTTATAAAGTAAAGTTGTAATAAGTACTATGAAGATGTATAGGGAATTAGGAAAATATAGACATCCTGATCTTGTCTTAGAAATCAGAAAAGGTGGCCTAAGAAAGTGGCATTTAACCTGGAATTTGAATGATGAGTAGGTTTAAAGAAAAGAGTATTCCAAGATAAGAAATTATTCATTCACCATATTTTTTTCAGTACATAGTGTATAACAACAAAGCTGAAGATGGTAGAGATTCAGCAGTGAACAAAGAAAGACAAAAATCCATCCATTTATGGAGTCTACTTTCTACTTAGTGGAAGACAGATAATTAATTAAGAAAGTAATGTACTATATGTGCTATCTGGGAAAAATAAAGCAGGGAGTGTTTAAAATTTTAAACAATGTGTGCAATAAACTTGAGGCTGAAGGATTTGGTTTGAAGGAAGACCATGATAGCTGAGGCTTGGAAATAGAAGAAGAGAATGTTCGGAGATGATCTTTAGAGGTAGACAAAGTCCAGATCACATAACATCCACACAATATGCTAAAGATCTTATATTTTATCCTAGGAGCAAATAAAAATCAATCAGAAAACTGCTAACCAGAAGGCTGGCGGTTCAAACTCACCAACCACTCCTCAGAAGGAAGATGGGGCAATCTACTTCCTTAGTGATACTGCCTCGGAAACCCAAGGAGGGGTCGCTATGAGTCGGGTCCGACTTGACGGCACATAAC